CCCGGAGGCCGCCCGGGGCGCCGCTCCGCATGCTCCTCGCCCGCCGCCCGCCGCTCCCTGCTCGCTCCTCGCTCGCTCTCCCTCCCGTCCAGCTCGCCCGCAGCTTTTTTAATAATATTATTCTAAGCGGGCATGAGGCGCGGCGGCCCGCGCCCTGATTGGTCCGGTTATCTGACCCGGGGCCTGCCCGCGCCAGACAATAGTCGAGTCAAATTATTCGCCATGGAGACGCTGTCAGTCACCGGTAACCCGAGCCCCGGCGGGCCGGACGGCTCCCCCCGGCCCGCTCCGCTGACAGATCGCCCGGCTCCGCGCTAGGCGGAGGGCGGCCCGAGACAGGGGCCCGAGGCGCTCGGAGAGCTGGGCAGGCAGAGAGGGGCCGGGGAGGGGCGCGGCGGCGGTGATTGACGGGGCGGACGCCCAAAGAGCAGGGAAGGAGGAGAAGGCGCGGAGCGGAGGCGGGGTGGGGACGCGCGGAGGAGAAAAGGGGCGGACTGAGACGGGGAGGGAAGAGGAGAGAGGGAAGGCGGAGGACCGTTTAAGGGGGTGCCTGGCAGGAAGGGGAGGGCGAGGACTAGACAGAGCCTCCAGGGGGAAGAAACTTGGGGCAGTGTTTTGCAAGGGGCGGAGCTGCAGCCGCGCTCGGGCCCCGCCAGGTGGGCCCCGCTTCACTTGGGTCACCGGGTCTGTCCCCCGGCCGCGGTTCGCGGACAGACGGAGCTCAGGAGTGGCCCAGTGGGACGGAGAGTTTGGACGTGTCCCGGCGCTGCCCGGAGACTGGGCTTTTCCTGCTGACCGCGCCCCGCCCCCACGCAGCGCCTGCGGACCGAGCTGTCTTCGAGGGAAAGGAGGAGGGCGTAGGGAAAGGAAGGAGGGAGGGTCAGTGGCCGCAGGCGGACGCCAGAGAACCAACTTCCCGGAGGATCCCGCCTTCCTTCCCTCTCCCAGCCGGGCCGGCTGCCCTGCTGCCTGCCGGTACCGCCCCTGCTTGCGCGTTCGGCTCCTCGCCGCCGCCGCCGGGCGGGGACTCAGACTTAACCCCACGGCTCCCAGGGCCCAACAAGCTCCTGGCAGTTCCGGGTGGTCTCAGCGGCGACGCAAAACCGAGGAGCGGCACCGAACCTCAGTCTGCGCACCGCCAGCCGAGGGGAGGCAGTGTAGACGGCTGTGGCGCCTCGCCGGTGAACCCCCACCCCGATCCGCGAGCCTCAGCTCTCGGCTTGGCTCGGGCGCCTGGCTCGTCAGGCTGGGAACCAACCGGTGGCTGAGCTGCGGAATGAGGGCCTTAAAAAGGAGGGTCTGTTCTTTTGAGTTTTGTTTTGTTTTGTTGCTAGTTTGTCAGGGCGCGACGCTGGTTCTCTGGGAAAAGGGCGCAGGTGGAGACAGGAGGACTCTGGTGTGTGAGTGAGAGGTGCATCTGCGGGCCTACGGTTTTGAAAAGTCCTAGGCTCCGCTCCTTCCCCTCAACTTGTCCTTTCCACTTCCGTTTTTCCTGTTCTCACTCAGCTGTTGCAGACCGGGAGCTCCCTGTGCCACTCAGACTAGGACTGAGGGTGATAGAACATTTCGTGGTCCCACTCCTATAAGCCTTCTAGGGAGATTGTGCTAGGAGCACTGCAATGCACAGTCCTGCTTTCAACCTTTGACTTTGCTTGAGGTCTAAGAGTAGGGTACGTATTTATTATTCAGCAGGGTTTCAAAATAATTCCCTTCGCTCTAGCACGCTGGAAGCCCTTTGGAAGTGGTGCAGACATGACAGTGTGGAGCCCCAGGGCTTCTCCCTAAGACGTTGGCTCCTAGGGACTTAGTCCCTTGCACTGACGTCACAGGGCTGGGAAAGGAAGTTCTAAGCGAGTGCCAAGAGGACAGCTCCCCGCAGAAATTCAGGAGGCATCTGTGGAGTGTTCCTCTGTGAGCACAGGGGCTCCGAGCAGCCTGGGAGACCTGGAGAAGAATTTATACTGATTACAATAAGGTTTATGTTTATTTTTATTTTTTTGGTACTGGGAATCGAACTCAGGACCTTGCCCTTGCCAGGTAGGTGCTTATGCCACTGAGCTATATCCCTAGCCCACAATAAGGTTTAAAGTCCACCTTGCAGTCCTTCAACAAAGGGCAACCTACTCTTTCCAAGACTGGTTCTTAGCCACCCAGGCCAAAGGATTCAGCTGGCAGGCTGGTGCCATCCCAGGCCCTGAGTGTTACCTCTCAGCAAGATCGAGCAGGCTGGAGGGGATACCTTGGTTGGTGTGGGTGGGTAGGACCAAGCACTCACTTCCAAGTCTGGTCAGCTTCATTTTCGCACACAATCAGGCCTGGGTGACGTGTTAGTACCTCCTGGGTCCAGGCCTGGGTGGGTGTAAGAACACCTATCTTGAAAAGGTAGGTGATCTCTGCCACCTCAGGCCCAGCCTTCCCGGTGAATATGCTCCTCCTTGGACTCCTGGAGCTTCAAGATTGAACTTCCCCCAGGACTGGGTCCTGCTCTTGTCCATGAAGGCAGATTTTCTGGATCAAGACTCCCTGTCCCTTCCAGTGCTGCCCCTTTGTGGTCCCTTGACCCTGAGCCCATCAGCAACCCTGCCAGGGCCCTCCAGGTAATACCCAGCAGTTGAGACAGAAGAGTACAAGACAGGCAGTCTGCTACCCTAGTGTGTCACGTGCAATGTTAAACAGCAGTAACAAATCCTGTAGCACCATAACTCCATGTATGGGTGGGTGTGCATCTTTATGCCACTAGTTACCCCCTCCTCTCATGCTTGCAAGAAACCAGCCTTAGCAGGTCTAGGCCAGAATATCTAGACAGTAGGGGCCACTGGATGCCTGCCCTAAAAGGTTAGGGGCTGACCTAGGGTGTCTTCACACTCTTCAGCCCCTCCCTGCCCCCCACCCCCATCTTTGTCACAGGAAACATTGCTTGGTAGGTGTCCAGGTGAGGATTTGATAGATGCCGGCCTGACTCCTACGCAGTCTCAGTGCCCCCTGTTCCAGCACTCGGAGTGGCTGCTTCGGAGGCCTTTGAGTGCCACTGGCCCCAAGGTCTATGCCACACCCATCTCTAGAATTCCTGTCCTCTTTTCCCCCTAAGGCCCACACCCAGGAAGCTTGCATAGATGTTTCATCAAGCACAACAGAGCAGCCTCATGGCCTGCGAGGAGAAAATGTGCAAACCTGTAGCAGTCTGGGTTTTACTGCAATGCTTCCAAGCGCCTGCAAGTTCTCTGGAAGTCCCCTGGGAGGTCAGGCCTTCTGGAAGGCAGCAGCAGGGGTGGGAGGGTGTTCTCAGTGATCTCACGCTGACGGTATGACTTCGCTCCTAACTTTTGGTCGGAGACAGTCTGAAGTTTGAGTTCGGCAGGAAGCTCACAGGACAGACCCCCAAGGCCACCGCTAACTCGCGCCGTGGATCAGCCAAGTTGGTCTGGCACGTGCATCCACTCCGGGAGGAACTTCCGGAGAAAAGGCGAAACCGCACCAGCCTCCCAAAGGCTTCCCTTGCTTCGGAGGAAATGGGGTGTTCTAGAGCGGAGACACTCCCTGGCTATTTCCAAGGTCCTTGGACAGGATGGCCTCCGTTGCTGTCAAATCTGAACGCTTGTTTGTGAACCAGGGGAAGGGGAGAGGGCTCTCGGTGCCAAACTGGAAAACTGGAGCTCCCGTGTGTGCGTTTTGATCTTTATTTTTCCAGCTATAAAGTCAGCAGAGACCCTGGGGACTCATTCCTGCCCGGGCGCTGCGCCGCCGGGCTCCAGGGCATCCTGGACGGGATCGGAGGCTGCAAGCGCCGCAGCTCCACGGGCGTCCTCCGGGAGTCCCAGGGATCTTGGCGGCCGCACGCTTAGCGCGATCCCGCAGCCCGCTTGGGTCTGGGCGCTGCGGCTCGTTGAAAGCGGACCGGCGACGCGGAGGCTCCCTACGCCTGCCCACCTGTCCCTGGCACACTCGGGGTCTGTCGCGGCAGGACAGACGCAGTCTGGCATTGGCAAACCTCAGGCCCCCCAGGTTTTGGTATTGCCCTAGGTTTGGCGTTAGGTCAAGGCGCGGGCGTGAGGCTCACACGAGTCCTCCGAACGCCCCGCCAGCCTGGTCACCGCTTCAGGCGCTGGGCTCGGGCCGCCCGCTGGAAAAGGTGCGAACCTGGGCGTCGCCCGCGCTGCACGTGACGCGCGGTCACAGGCCCCAGCCGGAGCGCACGGCTCGGGCCACGGCCGTCTCCGCGCTCCGATCTTCAGCTGCGACCCACGCGGCGGCCTGGAAGTCGTTTACAGGAAAGAAAACGGTTTGAAGGCCGCGGGCTCACGGGGGACCTTGTTCCAACGAAAAGAGCGAGCACCCGGGCTCGAGGCCCGTTTGGGGGCCGGCAAAGCAGCCAGTCGGTGCGGGTGGTGCCAGGATCGGAGGCGGGGACCCAGGCCCGGGAGCCCGGCCGCTTCGCTGCAGTGCTGGGTGCCGGCCGTGGCCGCGCTCCACCCCGGGCGCCTCCCGGCCGCGCCACGCCCCTCCCCGGCTCCTGCACCCCGGGGATGGGCGTAGGGTGCGGGCAGGGCGAGCCGGGCATCCGGTGGGGGACCCGGAGTTCGCATTTTTGGTTCAGGAAGCTTCCGAAATCTGCCGCCGGGTTGTTTATCTGCCGCCCAGGGTTGTTTTTCGGCGGGACAGTACAGCGGTCGTGCGTCGCTGTCGGGTGAACTGCTGGGTCTGTGCGCGAGCGCCCCCACGCGGCAGGATCTCGAGTTGGGG